CCCCAAAACCCCAAAACCCCGCTAGGTGTATAAGCATTAGAGTAAGTGGTTGAAAAATTTATTCGTTAGTTACTTAAATAATTAAATTGCAAATGTCAACGGACAACAAACCCCATTTAGACCTTATCGACTAAGAGCACCAAGAGTTAAAAGAGCCCCTTCTAGGCGGTACTTAAGAGAGAGAATAACATACTGCAAAAGCTAGTGGAGCAGGTACAAGAACTAATGGATAAAGCTTTACAGGTCAAAAAGAAGGTCAATCTATGAATGTGAGTATTTCAAAAAAGTAGAAAAACTGGATCTCGTTAGGTCAAACTGCAGAGATTGAATTCATCGATCAACCTTCATTAACATACAAAAAGCAATCTATAATCGGTGACCCAGATGTATAGTAGATACAATTAGGAGAGAATTCTCAATTACTGCAATCACATTTATCTGGCTATAACCCATATACTGGAAAGGGAAATCATTCTACAAGCAGAATTGCCATCATAGATAAACGATCTATACACGACCCAAATCATGCAAGCAGAATTACTATTATAGAACTTAATGAACCCATTCCTCCTCCTTAGACCTGCTGTGAATTACTAAAAGGTATTTTGATAATGAAATTTGCAGTTCTAAATCTGACTATTAGTGGTATCTTGATTAAGGTGCATTATGATTACAATCCAAAGGTCACTATTTATGATATGGTATTCGTAAGAGCATTCGCTTAACTCTTGATTTCTTATTTAATAGCATTAAAAGATAGAGTAAGTCTTACTGATATTCCAGATGACTAATGGAAGCTAGTTATAATCAGGTCTATTACTGGAACTATGACTTTTTTCTTGTTTAATACTGCTGTAAAACTAATTTCTCTGTCTAAACTTGCCTTTTTAAATAACACTTCTCCTTTGTTTGCTACAATCATTGCCTTCCTATTCTTAGGAGAAAGCATGAGCAAGCATGAATTGATAAGTCTTTCAATCTGTATTATTGGTGTAGCTATTCTAGTTTAACCTTATGGGGATAGCGCTTAAGAGTAGGCTGAAAATACCTTGGGTTCTCTACTAGTTTTGATAAGTGCTTTCTTAAACGCAGTAAACTTTTGCTTGCTAAGAATGATGAAAGGGATTCATTATGCTATTAGTCCATTTTATTATGGAATTCTTGGAACTTTCACAAGTTTGACCTTCATTTTGCACAGTGAGGCTTAAAACTTTAGTTCACCAAGTAGACTTGGCTTCTACGACTATGTTCTTTTCGGAGCAGTCGGTCTAACTAGTGCTTCTGGCGCAATGGCTAAGAGCTTAGCTTTCCATTATGAGAAAGTCTCAACTCTGAGCTTGCTTAAATACACTAATCTGTTCTACTCATTAGCAGCAGATGTACTCTACTTTAACAGCCATATTTACTTTGGAGAAATATTCGGTGCCGCCCTCATCATTTGTTCAAGCTTTGTAATAGCATTTTTGAAACTCAATCAAATCATCTGATGAATTAAATTTACTTTTGTGCATTCAACCTACCGAATATTTTAATTGTTCAATAATTATCAAATTTTATAGTCGAGGGGTTTTGGGGTTTTGGGGGCTA